TTCTTTCTCTTTTTAGTCTCGAGCAACGCCAGCTTGGGAAAAATAATAAAAGATTTAATTATGTTAAACACACACAAAACACATTTTTCGTTATCCATCTTAAGAAGCCATAGAGGCGAAATGCATGCATTATCGGATATCATTTTAGTAACATACTTTCATGAATGTTTCTCCAAATGTCAGTCATATATATATATATATATATATGTGTGTGTGTGTGTGTGTGTGTGTGTGTGTGTGTTGATGTGAGTTTGTGACACTGGGTTTCATGCAAAGGGCGTGAAACCCATGGTTACAAACTCACATCAACGCAAATAAATTTATTAGCTCTGTCACTGATATTAAAGCTCTTTTCAATAAGTACCGCGCATATATAATATATGAATAATATATATAGGAATTGCACATACACACATATACAATTATCTACATATTGAATTAAACAAACCTACATCATTGTTAATGGCTAATAGATTAGACGAAAGTGCTCGGATCCACAGATCATTTGGATAGTTCTTACACTATACCCAGAAAAGAAACCACTTGTACAAATGCAAAAAAAAAATGACGAAAAAATCGTAGTCTCTTGTCAGTTTCTTCCATGAAACAGGGGATTACTGCTCAAATTCACTATATATATATATATATATATATATATATAATGAAATGGATGAAGTTCAATAATTATTTAATATATTTTCTCTTTATACGTTATTTAAACAGAAAATATATTAAATAATTGTCGAACTTAATGCATTTCATTATATGTTGTCATTGTTTACGTTAAGATACGTGAGCAGAAATATATATGCTTATAACTTTCGTCTGTCTTTATTTTTTTATATTCTGCATTGATCCATGTCTTTTTTTTTTATAGCTTTGGTGTCTATGATACAAATTTTATTATTGCATTTTATATATATATATATTCAGTTAAACAAACATACGCCATTGTTGATGGCTAATAGATTAGTCGAAAGTGCTCGGATCCATAGATCATTTGGATAGTTGTTAACACACTATGTCCAGAAAAGAAACTACTTTTAGTAGAAAATCTTATGAAAAAAAAAAAAAAAAAAACGAAACAAAAAACTCAAACGTAGTCTCTTGTCAGTAGAGTTCAATGAAACTTGTATAAAACAGGAATTACTGCCCAAACCCAAATCCACTAAAAAAAAAATTGAACTGTCATATTTGTCTACAATCTGGATACATTTGTCGCTGACATATTTTCCGCGGTCGCCAACGATCACCTGTCTGTGTTCCAGTTTATCAGGACATGAAGAAATAACTCATCCACCTCTACCCTCTGAGCATATATTTTTGTATTTTTTATTTAGCGTAGATTAGACATTTAATTGGTTAATCAAGACACACCCACAAATCTATTTTTAATTCTGACCTTATTCCCCCTTTAGGAAAAGAGGTAACAATTTGTTTTTAAATTTCTTTAAAAATCATTTCATCACCAGTTACTTACTATCGCCCGAAGAAGTACAATCATAGTATTGAAACATGAAAGCTTTTGTGTAGCGATTTCAACATGTTTTTATTATAATCTCTTATAATAATAATAATAATGGGACTACACAATACACACAGACAGAACAATCAAAGCTATCCACCCAAACATTGTTCGCACACAAAAAATGCCTCTTTATTGATATAGCAGTCCCTGCGGACTGCTATGTATCTTTGAAGATCTTCAAAAACAGATCAAAATACAAGGACCTTGAAATCGAAATCTCAAAAATGTGGCACATGGGAACCTCAACAATCCCCGTTGTAGTTGGAGCCCTCGGATTGGTTGGAAAAGATTCCAGTAGGCTAATTGAAGGGAATTCCTGGAAGCCCATTTATTAAAGAAATACAAAAAATTGTTCTCATAAGTTTAGCCCACACCTTACGAAGGGCTTTGTATGTGTGTGTGTGTGTTTTTTTGTCCCGTGTCATGATGCCATTTCTAACCTTAGGTCCCTGGACGGGACCCGGAAAGAAATGAGTACACATCAGAAACCAAAGGAAATAATAATAATAATAATAATAATAATATATATATCTTCTGAGTTAATGTATTTTATTTATCAATCCGACAGGTGTGTGTTGGTGTATCGCAACCTGAACTTTTAGAGGTGTTCATTAAAAGACTTTATTAAACAAAAACTTAATACTATAACGGTTAGTAGAGCCGAATGTGTAATCGGCAAACCAAATTCAAACTCCGGTCTATCACTTCTGCGTTCACGGGTTCACTTTTTTTGCATTAGTACTTTTGGGAATGGCATAACCATCTCTTCCTCCCCACCGTTAACAGCTTTGGGATACATATCAGGATAGATTGGGTGGCAACCAGTCTAGGAAAAGGACCACTCTGAAATCAAAACCATAGAGAAGGCAACGGGAAACTAAGAAGAACTATTTACAGCAATTCACACATTAAAAGGAAACCGTGGAGAACCATGATTAACGAACTGTCTAGAGGAACACGGAATTAAAATAAAACAAAAAACACAACACAACTAACAACCATGAAAAACCGAAAACTATCCCGGATTGGAAATTCTGGTAAGCCTAATAATTAATTGGTAATTTTCATTCTAAAACCAACGGGTGTCGTAGTTGCTTTTTTTTGACTAAACTAAAAGCAAAGTGCCTTGCAAGTTTGTTCAGTCCTACATTAGTTAAAATAAAAAAAAACAAAAATCAACTTTATTGACAATTAACAATTAAAATCATTAATTCATTTTCCAATAAAATCTTTAATTTGTTCATTTCTACTGAAGAATTCTCAGCGCGACCAAAATAACAACAACAAAAAACATCTTATGTTTGGTCAGATTTTATACAACATTTCTTGAGATATCGTTACTTTGATTGTTCGGCCTTTTGGTTCTGGATGTGAAATGACAAGAATTTAGAAAATCATACTCAACGTTTGATAAAAACGCTGATAAAATCAGTTCAATGTAATTTTTGTTAATTTCCTCGTTGTTTTTCATAAAAGACATCGGTTTTTGAACCTAGAATTATCACAGTTTGGTCACACCAGAGATTAAGGATTACGCAACTCATTAAAAATAAAAATAAACTGGGAAAAAAAAAACCTTGAACAAAGCGTTTTAAAATGTTATTTGATGATATATTAGTTAAATTAATTTCAGAAAATGACTATTTTCATTCTTTTTCGAATTTTTCAATCCCTGTCACTAGGTGTCCGGATAATCGTCAGGAGGGGGAGGTCGGACAGGGAATTTTACTTTTTCATATGTTGTGCAGACAGAAATACATGATCAATATAGTTATTACCAGCCAAATTAAATAAGTAAAATTAAAATTTCCTTGTCTAAAATATAGTATAAAATACCTTACGATTTTTTAAAAACGTTTGAATTTTGTTCGATTGATGCGTATTCACAAATCGAATCGTAGGATCTTGATCGTCAAATCGAAGCGTACCTATTAAAAAGATATTTCTGATTAGTTTAAGAAAACTAAATGAAAAGCAATATTTTGCGATTAAAACCTGTTGTAAATAATTTTGTAAATTTGACTTTTTAAATGGTTGTGTTTCTTGACGTATTTACTTTAAAAATTCAAAATTAGGGAAGATTTTTTTGGTCAAACAAGTTCGGCTCCAGAAAGTGGAACAAAAAGATAACGAGATAGCAAAGAACAATTTATTTTAGATTTGTTATACTCATTAAGTTACTAATACTGATATACATATCAGTAAAATTATTATTAACTTTTTTTTTTTTTTTAAATGTTTAAATATAAAAAAAACTGCACGAATCCGCATTTCGTTTTAGCGCAGATTAAAAAGAAGCAAAAATAAAAAAGAATGAATGATTCAAGAGTTGTAGTCAAAAGTTTTTGGGACGACAATTTTAGCTTTAAAGTTTTTCAAACTAAGCAAATTTGATGCTTGGAAAAAAGAACTGAAGAGGAAATTTAAAAAAGGGGGTGATAAATGAGGCTTGACCACAGTAATGGTTTGTAAATGATTAATTGCTGAGAAAACGGATGACAACAAAAATTGTATTGTTTCTTCTTGAGGAAATGCAAAGATGAAATGTCGCTAAAAACAAAGAATAAAGATGTACCGGGGGGGGGGGGAGAAGAAAAAGAAAATGAAAGGAATTCCTCAAAATATGGTGGTTGGTAGCAATGGTAGAAATTAAAAATAAAACGCAAAATTTAAGAAAACAGCATTAATAAGATGATGGGACAAAAAAAATAAAATAAATAAAATAAGGGTAAACAAAAGATGTGATAAGAATCGTTTGGGACTGATAGTAAGAAAGGAAGTAAAAGAAAATCAAAGGGGAACAAATGGAAGATAAAGAGGGAGATAGAGAGACATAAAAGCAATTAAAAGAGAGAGAAAGAAAAAAGTAAAACGAACGGAGAGAGAGAGAGATAGAAAGTAAAACGAATGGAAAGAAAGAGAAAAATAAAACGAATAGAGAGAGAGAGAGAGAGAGAGAGAGAGAAGTAAAACGAATGGCGAGAGAAGTCAAAAAAGAATAAAGAGAGAATTAAATCAAAAAGAGAGAGAAAAAATTAAAAAAAAGAATGAAAAAGAGAAGAAAATGAAAAAGAGAAGAAACATAAAAGAGAGAGAGAAGTAACAAATGAGAGAGAGAGAGATAAGTAACAAATGGAGAGATAGAGAGATAAGTAACAAATGGAGAGATAGAGAGATAAGTAACAAATGGAGAGATAGAGAGATAAGTAACAAATGGAGAGATAGAGAGATAAGTAACAAATGGAGAGATAAAGAGAGAAGTAACAAATGGAGAGAGAGAGAGAGAGAGAGAGAAGTGGCAAATGAAGAGACAGAGAAAAGTGACGAAGAGAGAGAAAAGTGACAAATGAAGAAAGAGAAATAAAAGTAAGAAGTCGAGAGAGAGAGAGAGAGGTAAGAAATCGAGAGAGAGAGGTAAGAAATCAAGAGAGAGAGAGAAGTATGAAATCAAGAGAGAAAGAGAAGTATGAAATCAAGAGAGAAAGAGAAGTATGAAATCGAGAGAGAGAGAGAGAGAGCAGTAACAAATCAAGTAAGAGAGAGAGAAGTAACAAATGAAGAAAGGGAGAGAGAGAAATAACAAATGCAGAGAGAGAATTAGAAAATTAGAAAATGAAGAGAAAATTAGAAAATGAAAAGAGAGAGAGAGAGAAGTAGAAAATGAAAAGAGAGAGGAGTAAACATTGAAGAGAGAGAGAGACGTAAAAACTGGAGAGAGAGAGAGAAGCAAAAAATTAGGGAGAGAAAACAAGAGAAGTAAAAAAGGAAATGAGAGAAAAAGGAAAACAAAAACAATGAAGAAAACGTAGAAAAAAAAGAAGAGGCGAGAGTGGGGGAACGTAATGATGAAAAGACGAGAAAGATCGTAATGAAAGATTAAGCAGAAGAATAGAAAGAAAGTACAAAGAATAGAAATTAAGAAATTTGGAGAAAAAAAAAAGTAGCAGGCCAAGACATGATCAAAGAATTGGGTAGCCACCAGTTGAATGGGTGGAGTCAAGTGAAAAAGAAGACGAAGAAAAAAAAAAGGCAGGTGATTACCTCATTGGCCTGTTTAAGCGAGAACTGGGAGTTATTTAACAGCAGCCGTAGAAAAGAAGAAGGCAGGGTCGTTTGCAGCAGAACAAGTGGCTGGTTCTGTTACGTAAGCGAGTCACTCACTTGTCAGTAGGAATGGGTGGAGCAAACTACTACAACAGTGTTGCTATATTCTCGAGAAAAAACTCAAACTAACGATCTACCCGACTAAAACTGGAATAACAGAAACAACATCGTGTGCAATAGAATGAAATCGGGTGGATGGAATTAAAAATTAGACAGAGAGAGGGGAAGTGAAAGAGAAAGGAAACAAGAAAGTTGGGTACGGAATAAAAAGAAAAAAAATGATTTCTTTCTGAATTTCTGGGGTGAGGAGTTATCATTATTTACATTATTTTTACTTAACTCATTAGTTACATTATTTTTACTTATTTTTAACTTCATCGACGTTGTTATTATTATCACAAAGTTTCAGGCGTTCTTACCATCGCTTTCTTCAGATGTTTGTAGACCCAGGTAACTTTTCAGGGAATTTTGAAATGAACCCTTTATTTAATAAACAGGGGTAGATTTTTCTCGTTCTGTCCATCAGGATATTTCGTCTAGGTCTTACTGCTAAGTTATTGCTCTCCCTGTTCACTGTACTAACTGACCCAGAGTTTGAACTCACAATCACTATGTCACCAAATTAACAAACCAACGTTTTTAATCTGACAGGTTATTAACCCTTGTAATGTTTAAAGTTTAATCTGCCAGACTATTATCTCATCCCTCTAACAAAGATGAGAAACAATAGTCGGAGAGTAAATAAACGTGAATTATTAAAGACAATGTCGGAATTCAGATAAAGAAATTAAAAAGCAAGTCGTGGTCGAAGTGAGACTGATGATAGATTTGGCAGGAACAGAGAGAAAGTAGCGTACCAAGAAAGAAGGTGGGGAAGGGATTTTTGGAAGGCGATAGAGATGGGGAAAAGCCCCATAATCACGGGGTTTTTTTTTTGGGGGGGTTACGTAAGAAGAAAATGAGATATGTGAGAGTATTTTATCCCACTTAACTGCAAAGAGGAAATTCGGTATATTTTATTTATTTTTCGCGTGTGGATGTGCAAAAACTGGCCAAAACCGGGGCATACGGCTGCAGCTATAAGGGTGTTTCCCTGAATTCATTTCGTTACTAGTGTAATGGGAAGGTACTGGCTGGGAGATGGACACTCATAATCTAGACATTAAAGCGGACCTTTGCGGTAGAGAGAAGTTGGTAATGGGTAGTATTGGTAGAAAGAGAAATAAATAAAAATATATTTTATTTTGCTTGATGGATGGATGGATGGATGGATGGATGGGTAGAGAAGTGAGAGGAGAGTAGATGTGATAGGAAGAATATAGAGAGGGAGGGAAGAGAAGAGAAAGATTTTATAAAAGGAGAATGCAGATAGGTTCCAGAATAAATTTACGATGTCGTCTGCAGATGAGAAATGATAAAAGACAGGGAAAAAGTGTCTGTGAAACAGGGTGGGACAAACAGCAAATGACAAAGAAAGACTTAAAGCCTGTAGTATGGAATAAGAGAGAGAGAGCAAGAGAGAATTGAACGTCTATAGGAAAGAGAAGAAAAGAAAAATCGAGTGATGAAGAAAAAAAGTAAATCTGGGCGAGGATTACTAAAAGCGAATTTCATTACACTAATCTGATTGGTTGATAAGGTAATCGCTGTTCTCTTAAAAAACATTTTGATGAAAGTTTGTGCATAGGCCAAATAACCAACCAACAAGGACATTTTGGTAACTCCTCCTCTTTAAAACTGTTGAAGGTCATTATTTTTTCTTTACTTTCAGAGCTCATTCGTCGAAAAGTGTGGAGAAACCTTTGCAACATATGCTAACTGAGGAATAGCGCTCGAGACGTTTATATAAATATCTCATTTATTCTGACAATTGCTACAGAAAAGAAAAATTAAGATATTACCATGCAAAGTTGGTTTATATAAAATTTATTCACATTAATATTTTCATATTTCAACCATTATACTTTCCAGACTTCTTCAGTGTTTATATATTGCATTTTATATTCTGAGTATTTCTAAGATGATCATTTATTCAATTCATTGGAATAAATTGGTCTTATGATACGATCTATGTTACAGGATCTCACAATAATTCTTTAAAGTGATGTTACTTTTGCTAAAAATGGTAGAACTTTCACTGCCTGACCCAGAAATCGATCTTACACATATCAGGTTTTCAGATACACTTAACCAACAATTGGTTTAGCTAATAGCTTACATTTACAAATTTTATATGTCAGGCTGTCAAGTTTTATGTTCAAAATATTATTTGCATGAAACTGAATATAAAATTGAAGATTGCAAAAAAAATTAATTTCTATAATTTTTCGCCTCGAAAAGTATTTACTGAACTGTACGGTATAAAATTTATATTAGGGACACTGACTGGAGATCGAAGCCACTACAGTGGTAAAGATATGCAATACTGGCTTGTTAATCATTGTTCTATAATGAGGTGTCTAAATTTTAGCCTCTTCCAATACAATTTCCTCGCATGTGGGTGAAAGAAAGTTGAAAAATAGTCATTCATAAAGACTGCTGATAATAAGATGTTTAGCAATAAAGAATCATAAAATAAACAGTGTTAAAATAAATTTCTGATATATTCAATGATGGGAAATGAGCGAAGAATATATCAATATATATATATCCGTTTTACGTATGGCCGAATGAAAGCAAAGCACATTATTTGGAGATGTCATTTTTTAAGCATATGCCGGGATTATGTCGCTTGAACCAAGAATACCAAAAAGAAAAAAAGAAGAAGAAACAAAGAAACCAGCGAACGACAGTGGGGAGGAAGAGTTGACGAAAAGATATTTCGTTCAGGTTCAATTGCCTAACCTTCTTATGGAGTTGAAAGTAGTCAAACAATTTAAAGCAAGGAAAATTCATTCCTTACTTGAAACTCATTTTCTTGCCAACCAACATAGAGAAACAACTACAACAATATTGGAACTTATCTAGTAAAAAACGGAGATAATTAGCCTGTTTACGAAGATGTAATATTAAAAGGTATTTACATAGCTTGGAAATGCAGAGATGGTCTTACACTTAACGTTTCGGCTTTGACGTGCAGAGAAGGCCTTCACGCATCGAGATATTTACTCGACTTCGACGTGCAGAGACGTTCTTGGCGCTTTGAGATATTCACTCGGCTTCGACAGAGACGGCCTTCACGCATCGAGATATTCACTCGGCTTCGACAGAGACGGCCTTCACGCATCGAGATATTTACTCGACTTCGACGTGCAGAGACGTTCTTGGCGCTTTGAGATATTCACGGTTTCGACAGAGATGGCCTTCACACATCGAGATATTCACCCGGCTTCAACGTGCAGAGATTCTGGTGCTGCCGAGTTTTCCGTCCCTATTTGTTGGCAGATATCCAACTAAGAAGAAGAAAATTCTTTCAATAAAATAGTTAAATTTGAATATTTGTACTATTTTTATGATCAGAATTTTAAATGACTATTTACCAAGACAAATAAGTATTTCGTATTTGGAAAATTGGAGCAACACAATTACCCTACTACTCAAATTAGTCCTGTTATGCTTAGTTATGAGTTCAAGTCATAAATATTCCAAATACTAAAACCAACTGCTATACAAAGTAATAAATTATTCAAAAGGCAATATAACGTTTTTGTCACTATCTCGTCCTTTATCTTGTATATATGCACGTGTGTATGTTGAATCTTTCTTTCTTGTATAGGTGTTTCATCATTAGCACTCATATATGCATATATCTATGAACATTGTCAATAACTCTTGAGATACACACACTCCTAATCTATCTTATATAGTTGACATGGTTAATAAAATCTTTTTTTTTTTTTTTCATTCAATTACTACAGCTTCCATTAAGTTTTTCCTTCCTATTTCAAAGGTAATTTTATCAGAAATAAACTCTTTTGGGCTTGAAGTTGAAAGTTCAGCATACTCAATGCACCCGGTGAAGAAATATAAAACATTCAAACTTGCTCAGTGATGATACAGGGCTCTCTTAGTACGAAAAGCAAAGCTATAAATTTTTCTAAGTTTTGCAATCCTTAACCCTAAGCTAACAGTATAATCTGCCAAATGGAGTGCGCCAATTCGGGTAAAAAAAAAAAGAAAAAAAAAGGCGATTAAATCTCTCCAGTGAGTTACATCAGGTTAAAGGAAGATAACTGCGTATTCAAAGTCAGAACATTATCAATGATAACTCTCTTCCAATTTGCGGAACCTAGTTATTATATTCTTAATACTTGATATAATGCAAAAATATTACAATGTTAAAATCGGTCAATAATTATTTATAACTATTTATACTGGAAGTCTTGCATGCAATTACAAGTAATCCATAATAATATTTTGAAACTATGTAATCAAATTTTGGGCATATGAATTTTTTGAAACTGTTTCTAAATCTTTGATTGTCTTTCAATCATTCCACCTCACCTGCTATCCTCTTCCACCGCACCGATGAGGAACGCCGCAATGTTTCCGAATCATTGGGTTAAATAATTAATCTATTTAAAAAAAATAATTTTTGGAATATTTTATTTCCAGAACAAGAAGTGTTGGCTGGTGTGTGGAGGTTGGTGCAGAATGTTGGTTTTTACATCCAAAAATGAATGAACGCCGAGGGAACGTTGGAAGGTTTATTTTCTTTTTTTATGAACACAAATTGTACCGTCCTTGTGCCACAAAGTTTGTAACTCATTGTATGTTTGAACAGAGAGAGAACCTCCCTTTCTAGCAGGCAGTCGTCCTGATTAGTTTTCTGATGGTTAGGGGAAAGTACCAGTCCCACTTTCTGGCAAAAGGGTAGAATGAACTGATGTCAAAGGCCTGGGTTTATATTTAGGTCAATAAGTGGTCAGAGCGTACAGGGGTATGCCAGTAGGATTGTTCTTTGCTTTAGTACAGGGTCTTGGATCTTTTGTTTTGCTTATCCAAGTATCAGAAACAAAATTAGCTGATTAACCCATCCTTAAGGATGTCAGTGTAAAGAGGATGATAAGTAGGAGATACTTTTCAGGAGATTTAAGAAATATTTTTATTTCATTTTATTGATTAATTCTTGCCCACTTCTGCAAATATTTTGTAGTTTTATGCAAAAGTAAAAAGCTTAATGTGAATTAATCTGTTAGTTTTCACTTATAGGCTGAATTTAGATGATATTTTTTGACTGATCCATAATTAAATTATTTCCAAATGACATAATACAGATGAATGAATATTCATAGACAGGAATTATGTGCATCAGTAGTTTCTATACAGAACCCCATAGGATAAAACTTTCTTGTAATAAACATGTTTTTGCAAAACTAGTGATTTTCTGACTTTGAAATCTAAAGATAGAAAAATAGAACTCTGAATTCTGTCATCGTGGTTTAGAGTTCTTCATTCAGAGAGATGGAGAATTATGAAAAATGGATAAATGTGAGAGAGAGAGAGAGAGAGAGTTTGGGAAACACACACACACACACACACATACAAATGTATATTTTTTTTTTAGTGAAATTGGAATAGATTTGAATAGTGAAATTAAATCAGAGCATTTTGTTTACTGATGTGGAAATTTGATCTAGGGCAAAAGTTGTACCCATTGAATCTGGGTCATCAGTAGACACTGGAAATGTCCGAAATAATTTTTATCGATTAAAAATTTAAATAGAGCTGAGTAAGCAAGGAGGACCTTTAGAATTCACATGATTTTGATTGAAACAGCCAAAACCCCGTGATAATCACATGCGAAAGAGTAGAGCCAAGGTTCAATTGTAACCAGCCAGATTTTTCTATATAAACGTGTAGTTATGCTGAAAAACACAGACGGGTGAGTGGGCAGATGGAAGAGAAAGACGGAATAGGCAGACGGAAGAGAGGGACAGAAGAGAATTAGCCCAGGCAAGAGTTGGGCTAGAGACAGTGGAGAGTCAGGTTGGAGATTCAAGAAGAGAAAGTGATGTCAGAGATTGGAACGAAGTGGCCGCTAACATGTACCGTTGATATAAGTACCGCTGTTTCTGCTGCCATGAATATTACTGCTACTGTTACTACTGCTAAGGAGGAACGTCACTATAAACTTTAAGCCATGCACAGAAATCTTATTTCCCCATCGCAAGTGTCGTATATCATTCCGAGATGATTTAACAACAAGTTAATCATAACATACTCTCTGTCCAGAATCCAGTGTATCCATTTTTATGTCAATTACTTTTCTTTTCTGTAACCCATTTCTTTTATATAGCAGAAAAGAATAGTATAGAAAAGACATTAACAATTCAATCATTGAATAGTTGTTTGTCCAGCTTTCTGCAGATATTAATTTTTTTTTTGCTGCATTCTAAATTTCTTAGCACAGATTCTCCAGCCGTGTCTATATTTTCAGTTGACCGTGAATGGATGAACATCACTTCTGCTTTCTGGATCAAACAAAACACAACGTGGGCAGGAAGCAGGATTAAAACAATGGACCGGTTGAATAATCTACAGATGCTCAGGGGACCTACGGCCACTCCCTTAAGTTCAGTTAGGACCGAGTAGACACCTCGACCCAGAGAGTAAGACGTCGGAGGTTGAGGGGCTGGGGCGAAAGTGTTAGATATATTGAACAAGTGTCTGTCTATATTTCTGAGATGAGGTATTATGTACATTATTTACATTATTTGGACTAGTGTCCTCATCTTTGCCGCCATATTTATTACAATGTTTCGGCCATTGTACACTCCAGCCTTCTTCAGGTGGTTGAAATATTGAAGTGAACCCTTTATTTGACTCACTGGGGTAGACTGGTCTAGTTCCTCATCTCCTGTTAATTCCCCTCTCCAAGTTCTCCCCTGCCTTAACCGGGTATTGAACTCACACTCTTTGGGTCCTGTCACTGGATCTAACCAACGCCTTTATCCATTGTGCCATGTGTCCTTGAGGATAAAGGCAACTAGTGGAATAGTTTTCTGTTGTCTTTTTCATGGCCTGGAATTCAAAGTTTTCCTGTTCTGCTACAGAGCCCAGTCTACCCTGTTATTTAAACCATTGATTGATGAATGGATAAGATACAGTTTTATACCTCCCCCACCCAAGAGCATTACTACAAAAGTGAATATGCAATGACTTGTTCAGAATTTGAACTCAGCTTGTTGATGACAATTTTTGCACCAATAACTGTTACACTTCTATATCAATTTAGTACTTTTCTCAAAATAGTGAACTATGAATACTTACTGACTTTGAGAATAAAGATATTTCTGGAAAAATATTCTGAATTAATATTTTAATATTCTGAAGTTGATGGGAATCAGACATTGAAATATTAGCAATTCAATATCCTAATAAAATACTGGTTATATGTAAACATGTTTTTACAGAATAAAAATTATCTTCTCTGTTCTAAAATTATCTCCGGCAACTGGCTTATTTCTAACAACAACAAAAAAAATATCCAAATCAATGCACATATAGAATTGTAGGAGATTCTGTTATTGATCAGGAAGAGAATCATTGATTTGAACGTTTCTTGACAGAGGCATGCCACAGCACAATTGTTAGCACGCTCATCTCACAGATTCATTTGTGATGTAATGAGTTTGATTATAAGTAGGTATCTCACTACTACGGCTTTTTTAACAGACTAATCTGACTAGTGTATAATAGTTAGCAAGCCAATTCATTAGAGGAAGTAATGTTCAAAACAACAAGGGCTGTGAAAAAGTCCATATCGCAAATCCAGTCACACCAGGCAAGAAATATTATAGTCAAAAATCAGAGTCAAAAGTCCAAGGGGTACAAAATATTCAACTTACAGATCCTAATACAGTGAACTCACTCCTGCTTAGGAATGACAAAAATACACTTCTCCTTATCAAGAAAAGCAACAGCTTTTATTGAGGAGGTAAATTTTATGATTGGTCACGATAGTCGGGGAGGATAAAAAATATTACCATATGTAAGGTATACTTAAGGTAGTAATTATCTACAATTTATTTATTTTTATTTTTTTTCCTTTTCTGTGGCAAACCATGCAGATGAAATCTCTTTTAGGTGATTTTCCCATTCACAACATTAGGGTATTGTGTTTGATCTTTCCTTCTGCGGCCTTGTACTGAATACCTACTCTAATAAGTATCGTAAACTTATCTCAGAGAAAAATTCAGTAGTGTTTTGAGCCTGCACCTAATTACTCAACTGTGTGGGTTTTTTTAATGCTTAGTCACTTCAGAGCATCTATGATCATGGCTC